TTGTTACAATGTACGTCTAAAATAATCAAACTTCATGTAGTATGACTTCCTGACAACTTACTGACTTACACGAGTTCAAATCGTATCTGACACCTTACTGACTTACATGAGTTCAAATCATATCTGACACTTTACTGACTTACACAAGTTCAAATCGTACCTGACACCTTACTGACTTACACAAGTTCAAATCGTACCTGACAACTTACTGACTTACACAAGTTCAAATCGTACCTGACACCTTACTGACTTACACAAGTTCAAATCTTACCCTGACACTTTACTGACTTACATGAGTTCAAATTGTACCTGACACCTTACTGACTTACATGAGTTCAAATCGTACCTGACACCTTACTGACTTACACAAGTTCAACTCTTACCCGACACCTTACTGACTTACACGAGTTCAAATCTTACCCTGACAACTTACTGACTTACACGAGTTCAAATCTTACCCTGACACCTTACTGACTTACACGAGTTCAAGTCGTACCTGACACCTTACTGACTTACACAAGTTCAAATCTTACCCTGACACTTTACTGACTTACACGAGTTCAAATCTTACCCTGACACTTTACTGACTTACACGAGTTCAAATCGTACCTGACACCTTACTGACTTACACAAGTTCAAATCTATAAATATTAATTTCATGTAACATTTTTTAGGTTTAATAATGCTAAATAATTCAGTATTTCAATAGAGCTACTTTTTAAAGTTATTGAAGATGCATTTTTCCTTTTGCAATAATAGGTGAATAGTTTAATTGATTACCTATGAGCAGCAATTACATCAATTAGTGTCACATAAACTAATCAACTAATCAAAATTGGTGTTTTTAATTATTCCAACAATTGATTAATTGAGGACTCTGATTCCCATTGCCACCAAACATGCTCACTTTGTCTCTGTTATGACAAAGCTACTGAGGCCATGTTCTGTTGTCACTAACTCTGAACTGCTGGACAGAAGGAAGGCAACTACTAAATCTGAGGATATTTTAGTGTTAAAATGTTAATTTACTTTTGTTTTTTTACATTATATTTGTAATATGTAGTCGTGTAACTGTATTATTTAATGTTGAATAAGCAGGTGCTATTCTAGGGAAAAGTTCCCGATGGGCCTGACACACACACACACACACACACACACCTTTTTTTTAAGAATTTAACATCCTTATGCTATCTAATAGTATCAAAAATAAACATTATATGTCAGTGTTTTTATTTCATTGGGCTATTAATTACCATAAGCTGGGAGAATACAGCAATCCAATTAAGGCCTCAGTCAGTAACTTATTATTTCTAAGACAACAACCTGAACGTCTATTAAATGTTGTCATGGTAAATTTTCATGACTTGGGTTTTTGCAGACAATCTGGTAATGTGTCTAGTGGTGAGAGATTTGTTTTCATCAAAGTTCATATTGTTTAGGACATCTGCAGCTCTTATAATGCAGTCTTGTAACAAAATCAATTTTTCTCTGTTTAGAAATTAGAATTCTTTGGACAAAGATGTTTTTCATATTGTTGATTAAAATTTGAACTCATGTAAGTCAGTAAGGTGTCAGGTAAGATTTGAACTCGTGTAAGCCAGTAAGGTGTCGGGTACGATTTGAACTCGTGTAAGTCAGTAAGTTGTCAGGGTAAAATTTGAACTCATGTAAGTCAGTCAGGTGTCAGGTAAGATTTGAACTCGTGTAAGTCAGTAAGTTGTCAGGGTAAAATTTGAACTCGTGTAAGTCAGTAAGTTGTCAGGGTAAAATTTGAACTCATGTAAGTAGTAAGGTGTCAGGTAAGATTTGAACTCGTGTAAGTCAGTAAGTTGTCAGCGTAAGATTTGAACTCATGTAAGTCAGTAGTTATTTAAAAAGTGAAGCTCCATGTACATGAAGTTTAGTTCTACTAAATTCAGCTTTAATTTGTATAGTTAGTCTTTAAACTTTATAATACAGCGAGGTAAACTGTAGCAGTAGAAACTCTCGTCCATTAGCTAGATGTATCAATGTCTGGTGTTTCAAGTTGCATTCCAAATATTCATTTATTTCTATAGATAAAAAAATATCAAATCATTCATTCACTCAATATATCTTGGAATGAAACAATATCAAACCATTCAGTCACTCAATATATCTTGGAGTAAAACAATATCAAACCATTCGTAAGTTGCCTCTGATACTTAGTTGATGTATGCTTTAAAAAAGTATGGTTAAAGTTATTTCTAATACCTATATGTATAACAGATTAATGAACTAAAAGGCGTCAGGCTGTTTTCTTGCCTAACATTGTTATTTCTTTCAAAATAAATTTGTACTGATGTGACTGTTTTAGTAAAACTTATTTATACTCTTTAAGATTTAATTTTAGATGTATCATATGACTGAAAGAATTTTTATGGTCACCTTTAGTAACATTAATATAATCGAACATGATTAGTGTACATGTAGTAGTAAATACAGTTTTTTGATCTAATAATATAATGTGCATGAACAGAAGCAGGAAAATAAAGTTGTTAACTGATCTGGAAGCCGGGGATTCGTTTGATGCAAGAAATGAGCTCCACCAGACAAATCTGGAGGTAGTAAAGCGAAGCTTGATTTAAAAGTAATAATAATCAATTAGAATAGTGAGATATTGGTTAGTGAATTTGTCTTAAACGAAAACCTACAATTTATCGTAGATGTCATTTCGTGTGTAATAATGATATGGGAATATACAGGGTGTTGCAAAAGTCGTGCCCCTTAGGGATTTTTAAGAACAATAGAAAGTGCTTATTGATTCAAAGTTAATGGCCAGCAATTTGAACTTTAACATTAAGAAACAAATAAATAATTACTTTTTATATTGTTGTTAAATATCCTTAAGAAGCACGACTTTTGTACCACCCTGTATTTTAAATGATATATTGATCATAACTAATTGATTTTAATACTTGTTTCAAATTAAATTTCACATAGTCCTAATAATTATTAGATTTAATTAAAAAGTAGCATGCTTTACATTTGTTTTTTATAACTGAATGTAAGACTTTTAAGACTTGTTTTTATAATCCAGGGTTGAAAGCATCATTGGAAAGGTTACAACTCGGTTATGTGGACATCTTATTTATAAATAAAGCTGATCCAATGTGTCCTATGGAAGGTATTTGACTTTGTTCAGAATTCTTTAAGTGAAAAAACTTCATCTCAAGAAAGTTTGATGTGTTAAGCTCTAGAAAATATTGTTAAAGATGTGTCTAAAAGTTGTTTAATTTGTGAACATTTTGTTCCTTAAAGTATTTCGTGTTATATAGAATCTTCATAAGATTACTAAGTGATGCAGAGACTAAGGTTCATTTTTGGGAAACATACAGCCTTTACCTTTTTTGTTATTAGGCTATTGTCCTGGTAATTAACAATAAGCAGTAACTATTAACTGCCTTCTTTTATAAGTATTTCGTACTTTTATTTCAGAAGTTGTCCGAGCATGTACATATTGCATCAACCAAGGACTGGCGATGTATTGGGGAACCTCGCGATGGACTCCGATAGAAATAATGGTAAGCTAACTTTTGTAAATGTTTTGCATAACTTTAGACATAGATAAACAGTAAATGTAAATCATTTCAAGTGACAGATGAGATTCAACTTAGTTTTCAGCCATTTTAGTGTGCCCAGACTGAGAATCGTAGAATTTATAGCACATATCTCATTGCTGTAAAAAAAAAAAACTCCATACATGGGGTCATGGGTGTTTTTATACTCCATACTTGGGGCCATGGGTGTTTTTATACTCCATACTTGGGGCCATGGGTGTTTTCTATACTCCATACTTGGGGCCAGGGGTGTTTTTTGTACTCCATACTTGGGGCCAGGGGTGTGTTCTATACTCCCGACTTTGAGCCATGGGTGCGTTCTATAAGAATGACAATCAAATCCAACTATTACGTCAGGAAAGAGTACCCTAGGGGTTACCTGCCTTTTCTCTCTAACCCAGTAATTTCCAAACTCTTCTACTTTGAGTCTCCCTTGATGTGAATAAAAATGTTTGAGACACCCCCTCCCCCAACCTATAACTTTAGCATGGTGATTGAAAAACACTGCCGTAGTAAAAACAATAACATCTCCTTTCAACATACTGTATCATTTAATTAATGCAACATGATTTTATCAGTTTATTGTGTATTTAGAATTAAAATTAATTAGCAGCCTCCCAGAAAAAGCTTCACTTCTCAAACCTATAATTTTTAAATTGGTTGTGTTAAGATACCTCTTGTCTAGTTTTGTGTAGAAATTTCAAAACAAAAACAGTTGTCATGGTTTTCATATTGTTTTACTCCAAGATATATTGAGTGATTGAATGGTTTGATATTGTTTTACTCCAAGATATATTGAGTGATCGAATGGTTTGATATTGTTTCACTCCGAGATATATTGAGTGACTGAATGGTTTGATATTGTTTCACTCCAAGATATATTGAGTGATCTTCACTACATACAGTTAATATCCTATAAATTAACTACACATTAAGTGTTAGAGAAAACCAAAACCATTCTGGAAAGTTAGTATTAACTAGGTACTACAGACAA